TCACTCACTCACTCACTCACTCACACACACACACACACTCACTCACTCACTCACTCACTCACACACACTCACTCACACTCACACACAGGCAGAGAGAGAGATGAAGAGCGTTACTGACTCTTCCTCGTCGTCGCCGGAGTCGCTGCCGAACAGAGTCTTCTCGTCCTTCTTCCCTGCATCCGTCTTCATCGTGTCCTCCTCATCCTCGCTGTCTGAGCCCAGCTCCTTCAGTTTAGCTGCTAAACTCTTATCAGGAGCTCCTGAGCCTTCGTCACTGCCGGAGTCTTCACCATCAGACACCAGCCTGCTCTTCTTCACCTCTGCAGCAGAGACACAAGCACCATCATCATCATCATCATCATCATCATACAGTGAGAGTTAGCCGTAACTCTACCTTTCTCCTCATCTTCATCACTGTCTGACAGAACGGCTTTCTTCCTCTTCACTGAAAGAGAATTCACAACAAAATCCAGTGAACGTTTCATTTATAAACTTAATTTATTATAATAATATTATTATTGTTATTATAATAAAATAAAATTGAAAAGAAGATTTAAATGATATATTATAAATATAATATTAATAATAATAATAATAACAACATTCTAAACAATATTGATTTGATTCTGAATAAACACACATACCAGGCTTCTCATCTTCATCATCATCATCATCATCATCACTGGCCAGAGCCCGTCGTTTGGGCCCTTCATCCTCATCACTTCCTGCTTCTTGTTTCGGTCTCTCCTCCTCTTCATCACTGTCTGAGTTCATCACAGCTTTCCACTTTCCCTTCTCCTTCTGCTTCCTCCCTCCCTCCTCCTCCTCCTCCTCCTCCTCCTCCTCTTCTGCATCAGAGTCTCTCAGAGTTTTCTGTTTGGGTTTGTCTTCGTCCGAATCGCTGGCCGCGTCTGATTTGGGGCTGCGTCTCTTCTCCGTTTCCTCCGGCTCGGAGTCGCTGGCAGGGTGTGTTTTCTCCTTCTTCTCCTCCTCCTCCTCCATGTCTGAGGTGCTCGCTCTTCGCTTCACAGGAGAGCTGCCCTCCTCATCCTCCTCGCTGTCTGCAGGCCGCGGCGGCTCGGGCTCTGAATCGCTCGCGTCTCCTCCTCCACGAGCCTCGTGATCCGAGCTGCTGTCTGCGTTCTCAGACCTCCTGTCATTATCACTGCCTTCATCCTGCGTGAGCGGAGCAATCAGAAAACAATGTTAAAAATGTGCTCACCCTCAGGCCATCCGAGATGAGGATGAGATGTTTCTTCATCAGGTTTGGAGAAATGTAGCATTGCATCAGTGTCTCAGCAATGGATGCTCTGCAGTGAATGGGTGACGTCAGAATGAGAGTCCAAACAGCTGATAAAAACATCACAATAATCCACAAGTAATCCACACCACTCGTCCATCAGTTAACATCTGGAGAAGACAAAAGCTGAAACAAATCCAGCATTAAGACGTTTCTAACTAAAATACATTGAGTCCATAATCCAGGGGTTCTCAAAGTCTACATTCAAAAGTTCCAAATCTGAATTTTCATCAGTGTCAAAGGTCTGGAACAATTGGTTATTACAAAACTTGTTTTTAATAAACAATGCATAACAAATAAACACATTTTGCATTCAAAATACATTAATAACAACTGCAAAAGTGGCAAAACAATTAATTTAAGTGTCAGCATTTTTTATGAACAAAACACAACAAGAGGTAGGCCAAAAGTAGCCGTGGCGTTTGACATTTCCACTCTTCACAACTCCAACGGTCTCGTTACAAATCAAACAGAATGGCTTCGTGCTGGATTGGGGCAAAATGAAGGCATACCTCTCTGACCAATCATCTTTGAAAACTCTTATTTTCTTCGACAACGTTTCTTTGACGAAACTGACATGCTCACCCGTCCAAGCGCTCATACGCAACAATGTCACAAAGGAAAACTCGAAATATCTCGCCTTCGCTTTCATTTCGGACCATCTCCAAAAAGTCATAAAAAACTATAAACAAATGATTTACAAGTTTAACGTGCGTTTATCAAATTAGGAAATCCACACTATTGTTTCAGCTTTTGTCTTCTCCAGATGTGAACTGATGGACTGGAGTGGTGTGGATTACTTGTGGATTACTGTGATGTTTTTATCAGCTGTTTGGACTCTCATTCTGACGGCACCCATTCACTGCAGAGCATCCATTGCTGAGACACTGATGCAGTGCTACATTTCTCCAAACCTGATGAAGAAACAAACTCATCCTAATCTCGGATGGCCTGAGGGTGAGGACATTTTCATTTTGGCTGAACTATTTCCTGAAGTCAGGCACTAAACCCAAACCATCAGCCTGACCTCAGACTGTCGTGATCCGGGTCTGGCCTCGTCCTGCTCGTCCTGAACTGGAGTAGCGCTGCCATCATCTGAGCAAATACAATTCAAAGAGTCTTGGTACTTTGATGCATCTTATGGTAATTCATGCTTATCATACTCCTACACCACGGTACATGACCAAAAACATTGTACTACCATGGTATTTGTCCAAAAAACACGGTACTTTGATGAATTATATGGTAATGCATGTTTACTATAGTCATACACCATGCTACGCCAACGTACTTCAAAGAATACTGTGGTGTTACCATGGTAAATGCCCAAATCAGTGTGTGAGTGTGTGTGTGTGAGTGAGTGTGAGTGTGTGTGAGAGTGAGTGTGTGTGAGAGAGTGAGTGTGAGAGTGAGTGAGTGTGTGTGTGTGAGA